CAAAACACTGGTTAGCCCAGAGATTAGTCATGAAGAGAGAAGGGCAAAATTACTGAGATGCACCATGTGGGAGAACAGCTAAGGATTGTGTAGACTTATGTTTTGAATATGTGAATGCTGTATTGTATATTCTGTATATATCTATTTAGAATACAGTTATATTTTTATAGTAGTAGTTTACATAACCTGTGAAGAGGGCTGGTGAAAGGATATCAGAGACACTGAGGATGATCAGCCATAATGTATTACCCCTAGACAGATAAGGCCATTAAGTAAAAAGCTACCCCACACTAGAACATGTAGTGAGAACCTTACTATCAAAGTAATAAGGGACACACCAACGTAACAACTGGTCTTCTGCTAAAACTGTCTACCTTACTTCTAACTTTCACAGTCGCCGTCTGGTTGAATCCTCCCTTATACACAACTTTCCTTGTTTGAATCTTAGTCTTGGCTTTGTCTCTGTAGATGCCTTCCTTTCCCATTACAATGTAAAATGCTCCAAACTTCAGATCACCCACGACTTAACCTGAGTTTTTTCCTCTTCTCCCGCTTCCCCTTTACTCTTTCCTCTTTCTCCTCTGGGTTTTCTTTCTTCTGCCTTGGGTATTGGTCCTTCATTATTCCCCCCCCCCCTCTGTGTTCTTGTTCCTACCCTCTGTGGGTCCCTAGCTCCCTTGCAGTGCTCCTCTTTCTTAGTATTTGACTGACTCCACTATTACTACTACAATTCCACCACTTTCCTCTCTTCCCCCCTTTCCTCCTACCTCTCCTGTCCCGTCCCTGTCTGCTGGCCTGTATATACTCCCTCCTCTCCTTTTCGTAAGTGTGACTTTGTAAATGTTCCAAGTTGGACCAAAATGTCGTTGTAAGCTCCTCTCTTCTATGTGCAGGTTATTTGTGTAGTGCACTGCCTCCATACTCCCTCCAATCTGATATCCAGTCTTTCATTACCTATTTTTTTTTTTGTTGCTCTCATCACCTTGCTCTTTCATATATTTGCTTTTAATTTCCTTCTTTTACATACCCTCCTAAATTCGTCTACCAACCTCTGCAACTTCTCTTTAGAATCTCTGAAAAGCACAGTGTCATCAGCAAAAAAGCAACTGTGACAACTCCCACTTTGTGTTTGACTTTTTATCTTTTAATCTACACCTCTTCCCAACACCCGAACATTCACTTTTGTTACATCCCCATCTATAAATATATTAAACAACCATGGTGACATCATGCATCCCTGTTTAAAGAATTACATACGATACATGTCAGCGACACTGGTCTGTCATTCAATGCAGCCTGTCTACTTAATAATGGGTATTACATTTGCTGTCTTCCACACCTTAGGCAGTTGCCTAGTTTCATTAGATTTATTGAAGATTGTTGTTAGTGGCACAGTGCATTTGCTCCCTCTTTCAGGACTCTAGGAGAAAATATCTGTGCCCACCGACTTCAAGGTCTCTAGTTCTAGCAGTTTCTTCACCTCCTCAGTTGTGTGCAGTGTGTCCAGCACCCTATCACCTCTCTTTCCTGGAATACCTTGAATGACAAGCTGAGCTCTTCACATACTTCCTGTTCTTCCCAGTGAGCTCCCCTCCTTCCTTCCACAGCCTGATTTACTGGTCCTTGTTTGTTTTCCTCTTGATGTGGCTGTATAACAACTTTGGGTCAGATTTGACTTAAGTAAAAGAACACAAGATCAGCTAATGTGACATTTTTATTGTGGCAATGTTTCGCTCTCCAGGAGGTTTGTCAAGCCATTAATGGCTTGACAAAGCTCCTGGAGAACGAAACATTGCCACAATAGTCACATTAGTTGCACTTGTGTCCTTTAACTTTACATATTGTCGGTAATTCTACCAACTTTATTACAGATTCCACTTGTGGTGCTGTGTCATTCTCGTATTGATGTGTCATTCTCGTATTGATGCTGAGCTTCTCTTCTTATCCATGCATATTCATTTCTGGCTCTTTGGCTCAACTCCCTGTTTTCCTGGGTCCTTTGCCTTCCATACTTTTTCCATACTCTAGCACACGTATTGCTTCACTCTCCATTGTTTGCTACTGTGTATTCGAAAATCAAGACCACATGATTGTGAGCACCTAGGGGCCTTTCATGTGTGTGTGTGTGTTTGCAGGTGTGTGGGGCTCAGGGTGATAATGGCAGGTCAGGTAACAATGACTCCACCTTTATGATTATTGTCTGGTCTATTGATCCGAATTTAACGGGCACCTTAAGTTTGTGTTTGTGTGTACTCACCTATATGTACTAACCTATATGTGGTTGCAGGGGTCAATTCATAGCTCCTGGCCCTGCCTCTTCACTGGTCAATACTGTCACTTTCCCTGCCCCAAGAGCCTTATCATACCTCTTCTTAAAGCTATGTATGGATCTTGCCTCCCCTATTTTGCAGATTATTCCACTTCCTGACAATTCTAAGGCTAAAGAAATGCTTCTTAACATCCCTATGGCTCATCTGAGTTTTCAACTTTCAGTTGTGGACCCTTGTTCCTGTGTCCCATCTCTGAAACATTCTAGCTCTGTCCACTTGTCAATTCCTCTCAGTACTTTATATGTCATTATCATGTCTTCCCTTCCACTCCTATTCTCTAATGTCATTGAGTTGAGTTCCCGTAACCTCTCCTCATAAGACATACCCCTTAGCTCTGGGACTAGTCTTGTTACAAACTTTGCACTTTCTCCAATTTTTTGACATGTTTGACCAGGTGTGGGTTCCATACTGGTTCTACATATTCCAGTATGGGCCTGACGTACAGGGTGTACAGTGTCATGAATGACTCCTTAGATGCCGAAATGCTGTTCTCAGGTTTGCAAGGCACCCATATGCTACAGCGGTTATTTGATTGATGTGCTCCTCAGGGGGATGCTCGGTGTAATGCTCACCCCAAGATCCTTTTCCTTAAGTGAGGTTTGCAGCCTTTGATCACCTAGTCTGTACTCTGCAGTCTCCTTTGTCCTTCCCCTTCCCCAAGCTTCATAACTTTGCACTTGCTGGGGTTAAACTCCAGGAACCATTTGTCAGACCAGGCTTGTAGGCTGTCCAGATCCCCTTGTAATCTTACCTGATCATCGTCTGCTTGTATTCTCTTCAGTTTCACGCCATCGGCGAACAGGGACACCTCTGAATCTATTCCTTCCATTATATCATTCACATATGCAAGAAATAGCACTGTACCTAGGACTGACCCTTGTGGAACCCCCACTCTGACACCTCATCACATACCAACACTCGTTTCCTTCCTGTCAGGCATTCCCTGATCCATTGCAGTACTTTCGCTACTGTTCCTCCCTGCTCCTTTAGTTTTTTATTCAGTTTTTTGTGCGGTACTGTGTCAAAAACTTTCTGTATTGATAAACTCCAGATTGTTTGAATGAGCTAGTAAACTTATATTGTAATAATGACTAATTACTTCTCGCCCATGTAAAGCTAGACAGCACAAGCTGGTGGCCATAGTATCCTAGTGAATCCCCTCAAGGGAGGTTCCTAGACGCTGGTGAGAGGCTCCTAATCTAGGGAATTGGATCTGTGCTCCAGTTCCCTGAATTAAGCCTGAATCCCTTCCATCCCCCCCTATGTGCACTGTAAAATCCTACGGGTTTAGCACTTCCCCATGATTATAATAATCCTAGCGTATGGAAATCCATCCTGTTTGATGATTGTGGCTCAATTAGTAGAGCACTCGCCTCAGATTCCTGATTAGCCTGAAGTCCTTCTCTTGATGAATTGGTTTAGTTCCCACCTGAGTTAATAATGCGCTGTATAATCCTGGTTTATGATTGTAATATAACTAATCCGTGATTCAGTCACCGGTATGGGTGGAAACGTTGGGCATGTTTCCTTACACTTGCTGTCCCTGTTCACTTAATAGTAAGTAGGTACCTGGGTGTTAGTCGACTGGTGTGGGTCACAGATTGAAAGACTCCAGTGGAAATAAGACACAGTCCTTGATGACGTACTGACTTAATTTGGTTATCCAGGGTGGCTAACCTCCTGGGTTAAAAACCCGAACGATTCTTAAGTTAATTTTTGCTTCTATATTATTAAAATTTCATATAAATCAGGGAAGCCACACAGTGTGGATGTATTCAGTTTATTCTAGCAAAAAATCTTAAGAGATATTTCAAAATGAAATTGTAGCTGTCAGTCAGAAAAAAATAGTCGAAAAACTGGAACTATTGATGTTGATCAATAACAACAATAAAAATATCAATATTATTATTTGTTTATGCACATGTCATCGCTCTCTGAAGAAGGTTCTTGGAAAAATGTGCGCACTTACAATGTTTTGTGAAGAATGTGTGTTTATACAAACATCTAAGAAGGATGTGCAATTGTGCATACACAGGTTTCTGTGAATTATTATTACAATCAAAACAAAGCTCTAAATCTACAAGGGTCATAGAGCAAGTTTCTGTGAAGAGTGCATGCACATGCAAGGTGTGTACATGCAAGGTTCTGCAAAGGATAAACCATACCACGGGCGGGGTTAGAACCCGCGATCAGAAAGTCTCAAAACTCCAGACCGTCGTGTTAGCCACTAGACCAGCTAGCTACAATAAGGTTCGTCCAACTAGGTATATTTCTACACCATAGGAAGGTTAGCATAGGCACCACTGTGACCACAAATGCAAGTTTTTACAGACGAATCTCCAGCTAGCGTGGCCGTGACGAACTCTAGCTCAAGTCCCCTCAAAGCCGTCAACATGACTCACGAAATCGTAATGACACAATTGCAAACAAACCATACGTGGTATGGTTTGTTTGTAATCGTGTCATTACGATTTCGTGAGTTCTGTAAAGGATGTGTGTACACAAGGCTCAATGTTATGTCAGTTTCTGTAAAGAGTGAGTGAATAACAAGATTCTGTGAAGAATGAGTGAATAACAAGGTTCTGTGAAGAATGAGTGAATAACAAGGTTCTGTGAAGAATGAGATATATAAGGCTCGGTGGAGAATGAGGTGATTAACAAGGCTCTGTATTAGCTGATGATCGATATTTACTGTGACAAAAATGTTGGTAACTTGTATGTTACTGCACTGTTGAGGAACATTTTAAGTACAATAAATAGGGTTGAAAATAATTGGTTATAATGTCAGTATTTATATGATCACGATAAAAAAAATAAATTATAAAAAAAGATAAGGCATTCCGTTTCTCATAATTTGGTTATAATGCCAGTGGGAATTTTAAAGTTATGGGCAGGAGTTAGTGCTGCTTCTCTGGCGAAGGCGAGAAAGACTTGTTCAAGGGAGGTATCAGATGCAGCATAGTCCTCAACCAGGGAGTGTGAAGCAGCAGCGTCAGGTGAGCTTCCATTGTTACCTCTTGCCTTCAGCGATTCCAGCAAGGAATATGAGGCAGCAGAAGTAGCAATGGGGTCAGACATGCTAGATCTATCAGCACCTGCCTTCAGGGCCTCCATCACCGTGAAGAGGCGGCCCCACGTAATGGTGCTGGGGACTCTGAACGCCATCATGCCCTAGAAATGTGTAAATTGTATTTATACATTTTCTTAAATGATGTAAACATGATATATACACCAATAGGTATTTATTTCTGTATACAGAGAGTTTATTTTAATCCATATTTTATGGATAAGAATATTCTTGATGTTAGTGGACAGGTAAACTCAACCCTTAATTTCTCGTTCAGTCGTCAGATTTTAAACAAAAAAATAAAATAATCTTTAAAGATTTTATAACTGAAGCTTTCACCAATATCAAAAAATTCTTTCTGGTGTCCATTTTTTCCTTTAAATTCCCTAGAATTTCAAATACTTCAAAAACTACTGCTGTATAGTCCTTGTGGTTTAGCGCTTCTTTTTGATTATAATAATAAATTAAAAAGCTACTGCAGATTGTGAAAAAAGAATATAGACGGAATTTTACGAAGAATTTTTATGAAAAGAATTTTACGCTTTATCAGATTACATTTTGTAATTACGTCACTAAAAACCTTCAGAATCACTTGACACAATATTTCTCTTGTATATTGTCACAATATAATGGCACTGCAGGCAAGGCACATGCAACTATGTAAAATAAATACAATACAATCATAATGTGAGAAATTTGGGTTTTAATATGTTTGTTATGCAGCCCAGACCCATCCTGTGAGTGACAGAATTTGTCACTCATTCAGAAATTAAATGGCTAGGATTGTAATAGATGATACAACAGTTTTCAGGTGAACACACATCAAGTGGTCATAACTTTGATCAGAAGCAACCTTTGAAAACTAAATCTAATAAATTAGTGAAATAAAAATGTAGTCAATTTAACATCAATACAGGTATGTAACAACTGTCTGAACACCATTCTAAAACAGACGAGTCACCAACAATAAATATAGACTCCTAGTGAGTCAAAGGTAAATAGTTTTCTATGTATGAGCTTTCACTCAGTATATAACCGTGATATTTGTCACATTTAGAAAGAGTGAAAAAGTTGTAAGAACTTCAGTGATGCACCAGATGCAGTCCACTCCACAGTTTCTTTCTTGTCACACATCTATTACTTCGTCACAGAACTCCAACAAGTTAGTAAGACAAGATTTGCCGTCTCTAAACCAATGCTAGTTATTGCTTATGAAATCACTTTTCTCAAAGCGTTCTACCACTCAATACCTCTGATAAGTTTCTCCATGTAGTTTAATGCTTCTTTCTATCTTTTTCTGAAATATAGGGACAACATTTGCTGTCTTCCAGATCTCTAGTAACTGTTTCATTATTATAGATCATAGACAGTCGTTGAGACAATACTTCTGCACCTTCTCGTAGAATCCAGGTTGAAGTAGTATTTGGTGTCATTGACTCTGACACATCCACCATCAAGACTTTCTTTACCTCTTCCTGTATTTTAAGTGTGTGTGTGAGTGTGTGTACTCACCTAATTGTACTCAATTGTGTTTGCATAAGTCGACTCGTTGCTCCAGGCCCCGCCTCTTCACTGGTCGTTACAATGTCCTCTCCCTGCACCATGAGCTCTCTCATACCTCTTCTTAAAACTATGTACGGATTCTACCTCCACTACATTACTTTCTAGACTATTCTACTTCCTGACAATTCTGTGACTGAAGAAACATTTCCTAACATCCCTTTGACTCATCTGAGTCTTCAACTTCCAATTGTGACCCCTTGTTGCTGTGTCCCAACTCTGAAACAACCAGTCTTTGTTCACCTCGCCAATTCCTCGCAGTATTTTATTTGTCATTATCATTTCCTCCCTATCTTTCCTGTCCTCCAGTGTCGTCAGGTCAGTTTCCCTTAGCTTTTCTTCGTAGGATATTCCCCCTAGCTCAGGGACTAGTCTTCTTGCAAACCTATGAACTTTCTCTAATTTCTTGACGTGCTTGACCAGGTGTAGATTCCAAATTGGTGCTGCATACTCCAGTATGGGCTTGACGTACACGGTGTACAGAGTCTTAAACGATTCCTTACTGAGGTGTCGTCGGAATGCTACTCTTAGGTTTGCCAGGCGCCCATATTCTGCAGCAGTTATTTTGTTGATGTACGCCTCAGGAAATGTGCTCGGTATTACACTCACCCCAAGAGCCTTTTCCCTGAGTGAGGTTTACAATCTTTGGCCCCCTAGCTTGTACTCTATCTGCGGTCTTCTTTGCCTTTCCCTGATCCTCATGACTTTGCATTTGATGGGGTTAAATTCCAGGAGCCAGTTTCTGAACCAGGCTTGCAGCCTGTCCAGATCCTTTTGTAGTCCTGCCTGATCTTCATCCGATTGAATTCTCCTCATTAACTTCACATTGTCTGCAAACAAGGACACTTCTGAGTCTATCCCTTCCGTCTTGCCATTCACGTATACCAAAAACAGCACCGGTCGTAGAAATGAACCCTGTGGAACCCCGCTTGTCACAGGCGCCCACTCTAACACCGCGTCACGTACCATGACTCGCTGCTGCCTCCCTGTCAGGTTTTCTCTGATCCACTGCAGTGCCTTTCTTGTTATGCATGCCTGATCGTCCGGCTTTTCCACCAATCTCTTGTGTGGAACTGTGTCAAAAGCCTTATTGCAGTCTAACAAAATGCAGTGTATCCACCCCTCTCTCTCTTATGCCTTATTTCCATTACCTTATCATAAAATTCCAGTAGGTTTGTGACACAGGATTTCTCTTCCCTGAAACAGTGCTGGTTGTCGTGTATAAGCTTGTTTCTTTCTAGGTGCTCCACCACTCTCCTGATAATCTCTATGACTTTGCATACTATAAACGTCAGTGACACTTGTCTGTAATTTAATGCCACGTGTCTATCTCTCATAAAATTTGGGACTACATTTGCCGTCTTCCACATCTCAGGTAGTTGACCGGTTTCAGTGGATGTGATGAAGAGTGTTGCTAGAGGAGTATATATATATATATATATATATATAATATATATATATATATATATATATATATATATATATATATATATATATATATATATATATATATATATGCGTGCGTGTGTGTGTACTCACCTAGTTGAGGTTGCAGGGGTCGAGTCCAAGCTCCTGGCCCCGCCTCTTGACTGGTCGCTACTAGGTCACTCTCCCTGAACCGTGAGCTTTATCATACCTCTGTGTGTGTGTGTACTCACCTAGTTGAGGTTGCAGGGGTCGAGTCCAAGCTCCTGGCCCCGCCTCTTCACTGGTCGCTACTAGGTCACTCTACCTGAACCGTGAGCTTTATCAGGTTTGCCAGGCGCCCATATGCTGCAGCAGTTATCTGATTGATGTGTGCTTCCGGAGACATGCTCGGTGTTATACTCACCCCAAGATCTTTCTCCTTGAGTGAGGTTTGCAGTCTTTGGCCACCTAGCCTATACTCTGTCTGTGGTCTTCTGTGCCCTTCCCCTATCTTCATGACTTTGCATTTGGCAGGATTAAATTCGAGAAGCCATTTGCTGGACCAGGTGTCCAGTCTGTCCAGGTCTCTTTGAAGTCGTGCCTGTACTCACCTAGTTGTCACCTAGTTGAGGTTGCGGGGGTCGAGTCCGAGCTCCTGGCCCCGCCTCTTCACTGATCGCTACTAGGTCACTCTCCCTGAGCCGTGAGCTTTATCATACCTCTGCTTAAAGCTATGTATGGATCCTGCCTCCACTACATCGCTTCCCAAACTATTCCACTTACTGACTACTCTGTGGCTGAAGAAATACTTCCTGACATCCCTGTGATTCATCTGTGTCTTCAGCTTCCAACTGTGTCCCCTTGTTACTGTGTCCAATCTCTGGAACATCCTGTCTTTGTCCACCTTGTCAATTCCTCTCAGTATTTTGTATGTCGTTATCATGTCCCCCCTATCTCTCCTGTCCTCCATTGTCGTCAGGTTGATTTCCCTTAACCTCTCCTCGTAGGCCCCTCAAGGAAGGTTCCTTGATGTTGGTGAGGGGCTCTTGATTTAGGGAATTGGATCTGTGCTCCAGTTCCCCGAATTAAGCCTGAATGCCTTCCACATCCCCCCCCAGGCGCTGTATAATCCTCCGGGTTTAGCGCTTCCCCCTTGATTATAATAATAATAATCTCCTCGTAGGACATACCTCTTAGCTCTGGGACTAGTCTTGTTGCAAACCTTTGCACTTTCTCTAGTTTCTTCACGTGCTTGGCTAGGTGTGGGTTCCAAACTGGTGCCGCATACTCCAATATGGCCCTAACGTACACGGTGTACAGGGTCCTGAATGATTCCTTATTAAGATGTCGGAATGCTGTTCTGAGGTTTGCTAGGCACCCATATGCTGCAGCAGTTATTTGGTTGATGTGCACTTCAGGAGATGTGCCTGGTGTTATACTCACCCCAAGATCTTTTTCCTTGAGTGAGGTTTGTAGTCTCTGACCCCCTAGACTGTACTCCGTCTGCGGCCTTCTTTGCCCTTCCCCAATCTTCATGACTTTGCACTTGGTGGGATTGAACTCCAGGAGCCAATTGCTGGACCAGGTCTGCAGCCTGTCCAGATCCCTTTGTAGTTCTGCCTGGTGTTCGATCGAGTGAATTCTTCTCATCAACTTCACGTCATCTGCAAACAGGGACACCTCAGAGTCTATTCCTTCCGTCATGTCGTTCACAAATACCAGAAACAGCACTGGTCCTAGGACTGACCCCTGCGGGACCCCGCTGGTCACTCTGACACCTCGCCACGTACCATGACTCGCTGCTGTCTTCCTGACAAGTATTCCCTGATCCATTGTAGTGCCTTCCCTGTTATCCCTGCTTGGTCCTCCAGTTTTTGCACCAATCTCTTGTGTGGAACTGTGTCAAACGCCTTCTTGCAGTCCAAGAAAATGCAATCCACCCACCCCTCTCTCTCTTGTCTTACTGCTGTCACCATGTCATAGAACTCCAGTAGGTTTGTGACACAGGATTTCCCGTCACTGAAACCATGTTGGCTGCTGTTGATGAGATCGTTCCTTTCTAGGTGTTCCACCACTCTTCTCCTGATAATCTTCTCCATGATTTTGCATACTATACATGTCAGTGACACTGGTCTGTAGTTTAATGCTTCATGTCTGTCTCCTTTTTTAAAGATTTGGACTACATTTGCTGTCTTCCATGCCTCAGGCAATCTCCCTGTTTCGATAGATGTATTGAATATTGTTGTTAGGGGTACACATAGCGCTTCTGCTCCCTCTCTCAATACCCATGGGGAGATGTTATCTGGCCCCATTGCCTTTGAGGTATCTAGCTCACTCAGAAGCCTCTTCACTTCTTCCTCGGTTGTGTGCACTGTGTCCAGTACTTGGTGGTGTGCCCCACCTCTCCGTCTTTCTGGAGTCCCTTCTGTCTCCTCTGTGAACACTTCTTTGAATCTCTTATTGAGTTCTTCACATACTTCACGGTCATTTCTTGTTGTCTCTCCTCCTTCCTTCCTTAGCCTGATTACCTGGTCCTTGACTGTTGTTTTCCTCCTGATGTGGCTGTACAACAGTTTCGGGTCAGATTTGGCTTTCGCTGCTATGTCATTTTCACATTGTCTTTGGGCCTCCCTTCTTATCTGTGCATATTCGTTTCTGGCTCTACGACTGTTCTCCTTATTCTCCTGGGTCCTTTGCCTTCTATATTTCTTCCATTCCTTAGCACACTTGGTTTTTGCCTCCCTGCACCTTTGGGTAAACCATGGGCTCATCCTGTGTGTGTGTACTCACCTAGTTGAGGTTGCGGGGGTCGAGTCCGAGCTCCTGTGTGTGTGTGTGTACTCACCTATTTGTACTCACCTATTTGTGTGTGTGTGTGTGTGTGCATGCGTGTGTGCGTGCGTGTGTGTGTGTGTGTGTGTGTGTGTGTGTGTGTGTGTGTGTGTGTGTGTGTGTGTGTGTGTGTGTGTGTGTGTGTGTGTGTGTGTGTGTACTCACCTAATTGTGGCTGCAGGGGTCGTGTGTGTGTGTGTGTGACTATGTGACTCTGTGTAGCTGAGACAAAGAAACATGAGTAGGTGAAGAAGAGACACGAATGCAAAGCAGGCTTTCATTTTATATTTAACGGTATTTTGCTATATATAAAACTTTCTAAATTTATATACTTTGTCTAGCTGTGCACACCGCGAAGCACCCATGTCTTTTCTTTATTACTATCAGCGGTACGCCTTCATATCCAACATGGGTGGATATCGAACAGCACACGTTTGTAGGATTAAGTATAGACAACATTTGGTTATTATTGAGCCTAACTGGTAAAGTGGGCTTCTGAGGCAATGTAACTCACCTTATGTTGGTCAGTAAGAGAAGCTCCCGGAAGGTAATATCTGATAATATTCTTCAAATCTGCCACTTTAGCGTCGTATACCGCCTCGTCTGCCTTCTGCCAGTCTTTGTCTTGGGCGTACGTCCTTAGCTTTACGTGCAGACTGTAGCCTTGACCAAACTTGGCTTTAAGATGTGTGGTAGACCCGACGCAGCGTAATGTGCCTCGGGACATTATTATAATACGGGAGCAGAGCGCCTCACACTCCTCCATGGAGTGACTGGTGAGAACCACACTCTGGCCGTTGTCGATGGCTTTCCTGATGGCTGCCCAGACACGACGGCGGGAGGCAGGGTCCACTCCTGAGGTGGGTTCGTCCAGGAATACCAGAGGAGGGGATCCCACAAGTGCCATGGCTGTCGACAGTTTCCTGCGGTTGCCACCAGAGTACGTGGAAGAGGGTCGTTCTGCACACTCTGTCAGTCCCACAAGAGACACCAGTGATCTAACAGTATGTTTCATACGACCTTCGCTGACCCCTCGCAGTCTGCCCACAAGTGTCAGCATCTCTAAGCCGGTAAGTTCCCCCAGTATAGCATCAAACTGAGGACAGTATCCTATCTTCTGCACAAACTGTAAGGAAAGGCACACATAACAATGACAAAATCAAACTGCATGGATATAAGGAAAAAAAATGAAGATCAGCTTATAGGATAAAGTAAAAACAGTGAAGAGAATTTGTTCTGTCTATAATGAGGTGGAACATATTTTTTCCAAAATATTAACAGAAAGATGCAGGTGAGATACGCAGTATATAAAGAAAATAATGAAGATTGGATAAGAGAAAAGTTAAAGACTGACGAATAACATCAGGGATAACCACTGAAAATGAACAGAATTTTGTTTTAGATTCTCCTGGGAACTACTTATGACAAAATCCCTATTTCAGTCTGATTTTCTTAGGAAGGTCTTTAGACAAGCTGCATAATTCCCAGACCATTCATGATTCAGGAACGAGATTGTTCACCCATTGTTTTTTCTCTGTAAATCTCTCTTTCATCAGTTTCTTTAGCCACATCTGATAAATTTTATCGCCTTGTTTGTGTTGTTACATGCCATGAAACTGCTAAGTTCTCTATATACAAGACAAGGCGATTTGTTTGTATTACCTTATGTGACGGTAAAATTATCGATACAAAAAGTTAGTTGAGTTTTTTTTTCCGAACAGATAATTCCAGGAAGGAAAATTAGAAGAGTAGGATGATTCACTGTACACGTGAAATTAAACTTTCATATTTCTATGGATAAATAAAATAAGCCCGAGACTACTTAAAAATTTTCTTACCGTGCTTGTTCTACCCAGGAGTGAAATATTATCAATCATGGCATCACCTCCTGAAGGTTTCTCGTCCCCCGTCAGCATCCTGAATGTAGTGGTTTTGCCAGCACCGTTGACCCCCAGCAGGCCCAGACATTCACCTCGTCCTACCCTGAAGCTGATGTTGTTGACTGCAGGGTGGGTTGATGACATGAACTGCTTAGACAGACCGCACACCAACAGCGTGGCATCATCTGGCACATCTGTCAGACATCACAAACACTTAACATGACGCTCGTTAAGGTCAGACGAGACTAGCTTTTATTATATTTGTGAGAACACTGACCTAAAAGGGATCAGACAAGGCATGAAAATAAGAGTGTCACACTAACAGACACTAAGAGCCACTCAAGAATAATTGCTCTAGTTCGCGAACAACCAGTCAGTAACAAAAACAAAAAAAAGAATCCAGGGGCCCTAAAAACATCAGAATCCATAAACACATACTAATCATTGGTGTTTAATAAATACTGTCAGGGATAACTAACAGTCACTCATAGTCAGTTACCACACATGTCTCTAACACTAGAAAACAAGCAGTCTCGCTGACAACCACTCATGGTCACTCTCAACCAACCACTTTGGTTTGTTCAATAAAGACACAGTCACTAACAGTAACTCAAGGGTTATAAAACATGCAGGACCATAAATAATAACTAACAGTAGTGGAAAAGGTATCTGCATGGTCCAGCACTTTACGATTCACTTTTTTCTGAGGAGTCGCCTTGCCTTCTATGATCTGTATGTTCAGGTACCCCTTAGTGAATCAACAACGATCACATCCAGCTGATCGGTAAGTGTTTTTGAGAGTTGATCGGTCTGCTATGATCTGCCTGCCCTGCTCTTGGCTGACTCGCTCAGGCATATGTTCTGCTGTTCCATCTTTACCATCATTCTTTTTTCTCTCATCCCTTTATTTATTTCATATTTACACTTTAAGACATCTCTTCCTTACCCTCTCCCTTTTTCATTCTCTTCCTCGTCCTCATCTTCCTCCTCCTACCAACATTACTACCCACGCTTACTCCTCTCCACCACACATCACCAGCATTTTACCAACTACCATTACACTATCATTTACTACCACGAAACTGCTATCGCACCTCAACCATTCATCTACTACAACCACCATCACCTACAACAACACCACCTCACCACATCATCAGCAGCATCACCACTTAAACTGTACTCTGTGGTCTTGCTTGTATTTCCCCAAGCTTCATAACTTTGCACCTGCTGGGGTTAAACTAAAGAAGTCATTTCTCGGACCAGGCTTGCAGCCTGTTCAGATCCCTTTGTAACCTTACCTGATACTCTTCTACTTGTAGTCTCTCATTAGTTTCACATCATCTGCGAACAGGGGCACCTCTGAATCTATCCCTTATGCCATTTCATTTACATATACAAGAAGTATTACTGGATCTAGGACTAACCCTAGTAGAACCCCATTCGACACATACGCCCACTGACATCTCATCACATACCAACACTCGCTGGTCGTCCTCCGACTAAATCCTCCTCATTAACTTTACATCGTCTGCAAACAGGGACATTTCAGAGTCTATCCCTACCATCATGTTATTCCCTTATACCAAAAACAGTACCATTCCCAGGACTATCCCCTGTGGAACCCTGCTCGTCACATGCGCCCACTCTGACACCTCGTCACGTATCATTGTTTCCTCCTTGTCAGGTATTCTCTGATCCATTGCCGTGCCTTCCCTGTTATACCTGCCTGGTCCTCCAGCTATTGCACTAATCTCTTGTGTGGAACTGTGTCAAAAGCCTTCTTACAGTCCAGGAAAATACAGTCTACCCACCCCTCTCTCTTTCCTTACTGCTGTCACCTTGTCGTAGAACTCCAGTAGGTTTGTGACACAGGATTTCCCTTCACAAAACCATGCTGGCTGTCGTCAATAAGCTCTTCCCTTTCTAGGTGCTCCACCACTCTTCTGATAATCGTCTCCATGACTTTGCATACTACACATGTCGGTGACACAGGTTGGTAGTTTAACTCTGTGTCCCTGTCTCTTTTCTTAAAAATTGGTACTACAGTTGAAGATTGTTGTTAGGGGCACAAAGAGCGCCTCTGCACCCTCTCTCAAGACCCACAGAGAGATATTGTCTGGCCCCATCGCCTTTGAAGTATCTAGTTCACATAGCCTCTTCACCCCCTCCTTGGTTAAATGTATTGTGTTTAGTGCTTGAAGGAGTAACCCACCACACCGGCTCTCTGGGGGTCCTTACCCCCTCAGTTCCTCAGCCTTAACTGTTGTTTTTCTCCTAGTGTGACTGTGCAACAGCTTTAGGTCTAATTTGGCTTTCACTGCTATGGCATTTTCGTATTGCAGCTGGGCCTCCCTCCTCATCTATGCACATTCATTTCTGGCTCTTCGACTATTCTCCTTATTTTTCTGTGTCCTTTGCCTTCTATATTTCTTCCATTCTCTAGTGCACTTAGCTTTTGCCTGTCTACACCTTTGGGTGAACCAAGGGCTCGTCTTGACCTTCTCATTGTTTCTGATACCCTTCAGTACGAACCTCTCTTCCACTTCCTTGCATATTGTTGTCATATATTCCATCATCTCATTTACTGATTTTCCTGTCAATTCTCTTCCCAGTGAACCTCGTACAGGAAGTTCCTCATGCCTGTGTAGTTACCCCTTTTGTAGTTTCGCTTCATTCATGCTGTCCTACCTACTTCCCTCTCCACGTGTAATTCTACTTTGTATTCGAAGCTCGGGACCACGTGATCACTAGCTCCGAGGGGCCTTTCATATGTTATGTCAACAGCGTCTGAGCTGCTCAAGGTGAATAGAAGATCCAGTCTTGCTGGATCGTCCTCTTCTCTCTCTCTGGTAGTGTCCTTAACATATTGATGCATGAGGTTTTTTAGTACTACCTCTAACATTTTAGCCCTCCATTTTCCTGGGCCTCTGTTTGGCTCCAAGTTTTCCCAGTCAATTTCTTTGTGATTGAAGTCACCCACAACCAGTAGCTTTGCACTGCCGCGTAAGCCTTACATGTGTGTGTGTGTGTGTGTGGTTGCTGGGGTCAAGTCACAGCTCCTGGCTCCACCTCTTTACTGGTCGCTATTAGGTCTACCCACTCCCTATTCCACGAGCTTTATCATACCTCTTCTTAAAACTATGTATGGATCCTACCTCCACTACATCACTCTCCAGAATGTTCCACTTCCTGACAACTCTGTGACTGAAGAAATACTTCCTAACATCTCTCTGGCTCATCTGAGTTTTCAACTTCTAGTTGTGACTCCTTGTTTCTGTGTCCTGTCTCTGAAACATTCTGTTCCTATCCACCTTGTCAATTCCTCTCAGTATTTTGTATGTTGTTATCATAACCCACTATTCCTACTGTCCTCCAGTGAGGTCAGGATGATTTCCCTTGATAAATTAGACACATGTGCAACATTTGGGTATATTTATAGAGGACGCGTTTTGCCACACAGTAGCTTCGTCAGTCCTATACAAAGAATAATGGTGAAGATCATAATTAGTTTGAGGTAATCAGTCCCTCAACCTGGAGTCGATGTAATCAGTCCATCAATTTGTCTAATTTATGAACTTGTCGGTTCTATGAACTATTTATCTACATTACTGTCAGACACAGCAACATCTTGGGATCTTGATACAGGGAATCTTCACTTGCCTAACCTATGTGCATGACCTACTTCCTCATGTGGATTTGTCCACTCTTATATCGCCTACGACTGCTTCACTTCACCTGTCTACAGTACATAAGTCACTTTGCGCATATTCTGTATTCTTTTCATGATTGATGGACTGATTACATTGACTCCAGGCTGAGGGACTGATTATCTCAAACTCCGTCTAATTTTCAACACTAGTCTTTATACAGGACTGATGCAGCCACTGTGTGGCGATACCTTTCCTCAATAAAGATACCCAAGTGTTGCACATATGTCTAATTTATCAACTCGTCGGTTCTCTGAACTATTTATCTACATGATTTCCCCTAACCTCTCTTCATTTGGTATACTCTTTAGCTCTCAGACTAGTACTGTTGCAAGCCTTGGCACTTTAATTTCTTAACATGCTTGACCAGGAATGAATTTAATACTCGCGCTGTATACTCCTATATGGTCCTGATGTACACAGTGTACAATGTCTTGATACACTCCTTACTCAGGTGTCAAAATACTATTCTTAGGTTTGCCAGACACTCACATGTTACAGCAATTATTTGGTTGATGTGCGCCTCAGGAGATGTGCTCGGTATTATACTCACCCCAAGATCCTTTTCCTTCAGCGAGGCCTGCAGCCTTTGCCACTCTTCCCTAACATGTACTCCATTTGCAGTCTTCTTTGACCTTCCCCAACCTTCATGACTTTGCACTTGGTAGGGTTAATCTCCAGAAGTCAATTGTTGGACCTGGCTTGCAGCCTGTCCAGAACCCTATGTGGTCCTACCTGATCCTCGTTCGCTTGAATTCTCTGCATGAGCTTTGTGAAAATTTGTCTGGACTGCCTCCAAGTGAGTCGCCTACCCTGGCAAGCTCTGTTGACACCGAGCTCTGAGGTCGGTACCTCAGCCTCACCAGTGGCTTATAGGCCAGATTTTCATAAATGACTGATGTTACAAGAAATCTCGCCTGCATGCACGTTTAAAGAACTAACTTGGTGATGTAGAATCTATTCTGGTCTTCAACCTCCCTAAGCTTAGCCCCTTTGGACTTCCCCTCAGAAACCACGTGCAACCGGGAGCCTTAGTTCCTGCAATATTCAATCGATGTTAGTGACCTGCCTGCACCTCAGAAGTTCCTGTATCCAAGGGGGTGTGTATCCCCTAGTATAACTATGCAGAAATGGACACTAGCTTCTAGGTTGACAAGAGACAAAAGTACGTACTGGTCATAAACTGCCGGCTGCACAAAGGCCACAGCACGACTCACTCGCAATTTTCCCCAGACACTGGCCAGGATCCTAAGAAAAAAGGGAGGTCTTGTCTTACTGTATGTGCCTGATGGAGGAGGACATCTACGGTATATCGAGGTGCCTCCACCAGATTTCCCCAGGTCTAATATGTGAAGACACGTGGGGGCGCCGCCTGCTGATCACGGCACGTGTTGTTCAGATGGTGTCTAGTCTTAGAAGGAAGCTCTGGTGTCTTCAAGACCCGCGCCTCGTCATTCAAACTTGGGCTGCCAGTTCTCCCTAGCTAA